GCGACTAAAACAAAATTACGAAGTAGACTGGACATAAACCACACACTTGAGGTGTCATTGTCTCCTATTACCCCGAGATGGGACTGTCTGATTGCAGAAAATCAAGCTCGGGGCTGTGGTGAGTCGTCATTTTCATGCACTTTGAATTTGCGTTGTATCGTATTTTGAAGGCATTAAACATTACCAGAGCGATAAGAGCGTTGCGACCAGATTAGACGCTCCTTGTGTTTATTATTATATTTCGAAAACACCACAGTTTTCATGCAGCTTATACCATATTATTTTGTTGTATTAATCCGCCACACCTTAAATGCCGGTCCCTGAAAATATTGTCTGACTTAAACCGGTCCGTGGGCCAAAAAAGGTTGGGGACCCCTGGTCTAGTACACCTCCGATGGGTTTAATAAGTCACCTTAATGGGGCGGCATAGGACAGAGTCAAGCTAAGGTGCTCTTACACTGCAAAGAATTTCATTCATTTGAAACCATGTGCATGTCACAAGCAGTTAATACTTTTCTCTAAATGAATAGAGGCGCTTTTGCATTCAGCTCCCATACAGCACACAACCTGGACTTCTCCTGACACTGTCCTATATGCATCAGCAAGACTTTTAAATCAGCTGATGAATTTGTCTCGAAAAAAAAGAAAACAAAAAAAGTGTATGATCATGATCGAGAGACGTTAATCTAGCTGAGTGCTGCTTGTGGTCCATTGGATAGAATGGAAGCTATTACTGTATTGGCCCGAATATAAGACGGTTTTTTATGCATTGAAATAAGACTGAAAAAGTGGAGGTCGTCTTATATTCGGGGTCTAGACATTATACCCATTCACGACGCTAGATGGCGCCAGATATCATTGAAGCGAATGCTGAACTTGACTCCCCAGGCCAAAATGAACACCTGCCACGAAGAATAAAAATAAAAATAGCAGTAGCACAGAGAAGAAAAATAAAACAATAGCAGTAAGAAGGAAAAGAGAAGAAAATAATAGAAGATATAAGAGAAAATGGAGAAACGTAGTGACAGTCTGGAGAAAAGTGGGTTGAAGATCGGCCAGGTTAACCAGCAGCTGAGGATAAGTTATGATGTAATTTACATTTCAAAAACCAGAAGCCATTCATTTACAAATGTGATTACACTTTAGATTTGAATGAGGCAAAATAACATGCTTTTTCTCACAAATATATTGTTATAATCATTTGTTTCAGATGTACAGTACTGTAATTATTTTCTGTATAAAAATTAATTTGGTGTTCAAAAGTCTATTTTCAAACTTGAGTCTTGAAAAAGAGGGGGTCGTCTTATAATCAGGGCCATCTTATATTCGGGCCAATACGGTATGTTAATTGCATCTATTGTCATTTTAATGCAGAATGAAATACTACTCCTTGATGTGATACAAAAAAAAGAGAGAAGTCTGCTCACAGTGTCGGAGTCACCTGGCCCAGACAATTATGCTTACTGCCATGTTACGCCATCAGCCGAACGTCGCCTATTGTATCGCATGAAAGGTAGAGTTGGCAGGATTTAAATAACTGCTCCTTAAAATTGTCAGGCATGTTAAGACTGTCGGTATAACCTGACAGTAGAATGTTATTAAAATGATCTTTTGAAAATTCATCGCTATCTAGCCCCATCTTATGCCATCCATCCATTTTCTGATGCGCTTGTCCTCACAAAGGTTACGGGTGGTATTGGAGCCTATCCCAGCTGTAGTCGGACAATAGGCGGAGTACACCTTGAGCTGGTTGCCAGCCAATCGCAAGGCACACAACCATTTGCGCTCACACCCACACCTAGGGACAATTGAGAGTGTTCCATTAAATTGCCATGCGTGTTTGTGGAATGTGGGAGGACATCGGAGTACCTCGAAAAAACCCACGCAGGGGAAGGGGAGAACATGCAAACTCCACACAGGAACGCTGGAGCCGGAATCGAACTCTGCACCTCTGCACTGTCAGGCGGACGTGCTAACCAGTCTTCCACCATGCTTTTAATTTTCGAATTTTTTAAGTTTTGTTTTCGAATCCTGTAGTCCCAATACAGTAATTGTGATGCCAGACAGGTGCGCAGTTGGAAAACCGGGAATGCATCTGCCACCGGCTGGACACAAACAGAAAGTGATCATGACACAATCTGAGACTGCAGAGACATAAATCCATCCATCCATCCATTTTCTGACCCGCTCATCCTCAAAAAGGTCATGGGGCATGCCGTAGCCCATCCCACCTGTCTTTGGGCAGTAGGCGGGGGACACCCTGAGCTGGTCGCCAGCCAGTCGCAGTGCAGACGTAGACAAACAACCATCCGTGCTCACACTCAATCCGAGGGACAATTGAAAGTGTTCCATTAATCTGCCAAGCATGTTTTTGGAATGTGAGAGGAAACCAGAGTGCCCGGAGAAAACCCACGCAGGCATGGGGAGAACATGCAAACTCCACACAGGAAGGCCGCAGCCGGAATCGAACCCTGCACCTCTGCACTGTGAGTCCAATGCACTAACCAGTCGACCACTAGGCCGCTGTAGAGACATAAGGCAAAACAGAATGATGTAGGCATGTATAAGCTATGCAGTCTTGTATGCACTTAGTCTGCATTCCGGCTGTAGCACAGAGCCCTGTCGTGTTCACAGCTTACTTGGACAGATTATTAAACTCCGGTGAGCAACAAAGTCAAAAAAACTAACAAAAAAAACTAAATGGACAGCCTTTGACACAAATCAAGAGTTATGCATATGAAATGGTGAATTCCAAAGCAAAAGGCTGCAACTCTAAGCCTGGAAAACCATTGACAAAGTTCTCACTGATTCATTTGGCAAATTGATCTCACCTCCATTTTTTATTGATTAAAAAAAATATATATATATAATAACAGATGAGTATAATTTCAGGTTTGGCAATTTTCCAACATACATACATCATGCTACCAACAGAGCAGCCCTGGCTAGCATTGGAATGTCTACAACGCACGTTGTATGCACAGCTAAATGTTGCATCCATGTCCGTGAGAGCCGTAGCTGTTGGCTATGCAACGTTACATGGCACATACTTTCAATTTTAGTTGGCTGTCAGCAACTAATTCAATAATCCTTTTTTTATACCAAAACCATGCAAAAGATGCCATTAGTCACTATAGACCAGCGATGGGTAACTGGTACTCTGATTGGCCCCTGGATTAATTAAAAAATAAATACATAAAATAAAATGGACCCTTTTTTTTCTTTTAATTCTCTCATTTTTTTTCATAAAC